GGTTCTCCTGCAGTTTCAGGAACAGCCGGGCCGGGCTGCCCTCCTCCCCCGCCCCCCCCCGGCCGGCCGCAGCTGCCCGGTCGCCGTCAGACTCGCAGCAGTCGGAAATACCGGAGTCCTCCCCCCTCTCCGGGGAGAGCGGCTCGGCTTTGGGCCAGCGGGCGCTGCGGGTCTGCTCCACCGAGAAAACCACGTCCGGCTGCTCCACCGCGCTGAGGGGCAGAAAGATGACCGTTAGAGCCCCATTTATCCCCTCTACTGTTCTCAGACTGTACATGTAGTCATTCTTTAAATATATGGGACAGCAGCCCTCATTTAAGGAAAATTAGACCCAAACTTGGAGACAAAAAGCAGAAAGTGAGAGGTCTTTTTTTCTCAGATGGAAAACTGACTGCTTCCTGTCAGAGCTCATCAGGATGCAGATCTGGAAGCTGCTGTCCTACCGGGTCAGAGTGACTGTTTAAAAAGTCTAAAATGATCCCACAGCTCTGAGTTCCAGCTTTTAGTCGACTGGTTTTAACACATCAGCACAAAGTTTCCTTCATTTCTGGAATAGATGATGTGACAGAGCTCATTTCCAGGAAATGAAGCCTAATTTTAGAGGAAAACCAGCAGGAATTGTGAATTATTTGGACTAGTTTGGATCATATATCATCAGAGTCAGAGTATGAAACCACCCAGGTCATTTTCAGGCCTAAACTGTAGCACAGTAGGCGGGGGGGTTGGGACTAAGCACCTGAGGATGAAGTTGAGGCAGACGATGGCTTCGGGCTGCGAGGTCTTGCTGCTGTAGAGGACGGTGGCCTGAGTCTCGGCCCACACGAAGCCGCCGCCGTTGGCCAGGAAGCGGTACTGGCTGGTGCTGACCTGACCTTTGGACAGCACTGGACAGGAGACCGGCAGTTAGACCGACCGGCAGGGGCTCCGCCTCACGGCTCGCATAAGGCGGCAAAACTCACGTGTGTTCAGGCTCTTCTTGATGTGGTCCGAGTCGAGCGCGTGGTAGAACTCATACGCCGAGCGGCCAATCAGATCGTCAGGTTTGTAGCCCACTAGCTCCGTCACCCTGGAAACGGGAGGGGAGAAGCTTAACACTGGAGGCTAAATGTTGAGTTTATCCTGGTCATTCAATACTCTAACAGTGACACCTTGTGGTTATTTATAGTTTTATTTTGAAGAGTGATATTTTCTTTCTTTTTTGGTGTGTTGTACTTCCTTTTTTACTTAAGACGTTGTGAGATCTTGAAGGAATTAGGGGACATTTTTAAAATGGCGCCTTGGAAATCAGAATGAGGTAAGATTATGAAAATGTGTGTTTTTGGGTCATTTATTGGTTGAAAATGTTTCAACCTTTGTGTATATTTTTGTTGTGCCAGTTTTCAGCGCCCTCACCTGCCCTCGCAGTGGGTGAAGCGCAGGTCCAGGCTGTGGCGGGTCAGGAAGGTGCTGGTGTCCAGGGGGAACTCCACGCTGGACGGGTGGGGGATGGGCTCGCACAGCAGCGTCATCACTCTGGACGCCGGGTCGCCGCCGAACGGGCGGATGTGGCCCGTGCAGTGCAGCACCTGCAGGGAGACAGAGATGGCTCCAGTACGGGTCCAAAGGGGCTACAAAAAGCTCTGGATTCCCTCCAAATAAAACACGACGCCTCCCGTTACACAGGCTGAGAAACAGGACTTTAAGGTCACAGTGCCACTAACCAGCAAAGCAGCTTTAACTAAAGAAGAGCCCCGATTCAAATCTATGTTAAAGTTGATGCTCGCTGCCAGTAGAGGGTTTGATTAGTTCAAAGGGACGGTTTGTGGGTCAGTTTGATGGTTTAAATGTAAACATCGTTTACATTAATCGTTAAATGGCCCAGCAGCATAACCTGCTCCACTTCTCAGGCTTTGGTTTTAAGGCCTTTGGCGCCCCCTGGTGTTCACAAACGGTAAGAGCGGACATTTCTAGCCTCGTAAACAAACAGAGTGTATTCTCCAGTTAGTGGGCAGCACTGGGGCCTTTGTTCAGCTCCGGCCGTGCTGGTTTAAAGTTTAACAGATCTCACTCCGGTGTGGATCAATGTCAGTCTTTCGCTTCCTGCTTGTGACAATAGAAACTTTAGGCTTTCCCTCTGTTAAATTCTGACTCAGGTTTCAGCACAACCTCCAACCCTGAGAAAGGACATGGAGTCCAGAGCGCCTCTGTTTGAACATGAATGGACACAGACCTGCTGGTCTGAGTGTTGACAGCGTGAGAGGAGCCTGGACTCCGTCCAGCTGTAGTTCGACCCCCTCGTATCGCTTTCAAACTGGACTTTGGTCGTACACAAGAGTATTCGTGGGTCTATTTTTTAACCAGCACCAGTTTTAGCTTCACACTTCTGGCTTGACCTCAGTTTATGACAAACTTTCAAAGGCCTGAGAGGAAAACAGGAAGTCCAGGCCGTCCTGAACGGC